CCACACCCTGCAGATCAATCCCAGTGTCAGCTGCAGGTGAGCATCCAATGCAATGGGAAACAAAAGGAAAAAAATGATATTGCTTTAGCTAGCAGGATCAAGAAAGGCTTTATAAGAGAAGATATCAAATAGTTTTTAGAAAGATTCTTGGTCTAATTCTCTTGTAAGAGTTTCTTATGAACATCAGAATCTTTCCCCTAGCACGATTTTCATGAAAGGGGCAGTGATCCCTAGGACAGAAAAATGAAGAAGACCCCAAACCCTGTACCTGGCCCTGGCATAGTCACGACCTATGAATACCCAAGCAGGTGGGCTTCTCCGATAGAGTAATTGGTTATATGACCAATTAGTCCTTTTCTCTGTCTGGACAAAGCTTCCCTCTGCTGCTCCTGGGAACTAGTATCTGAGATCCCGCCCTCTCTCCCTGTCCTGCACTGGACAGCTATCTCCTTGACAGATGGCTTGATTTAAGCCATTATAAATTTGTTAAATCCCATCAGTAATAGTTTCATAGGGGAGACCAGTAAGCCAGGCTACTCCAGGCCATAATTATCCCTCAAACCCATCCTTAATCAGCTTAACATCGGTGGACTGAGAAACTCATCAGAAACTCTGGGTCATTTGCCACAAAGAGTTGAGTATTATTAAATATGTACAGTAGATCCTGAAACCTCCTCACCTTAGAAGTCTGAAACTCTGAGCCTGTACACAGAAACCTGAATTTTAACAAATCCCTTGTTAAATTTTATCTACACTGACAGTTTGAGAACCTCTGCTTTATCTCATGAACATTATCAAATGGCAATCAGTGATGTATGCTTGGGTGAGTTGATTGACTGATTTGTGCTGTCCTGTTGGGGCCATGCTGGCTGTGACCATGATACACCAGAACTGTGAGAGTACAATGCTTTGCCAGTGTAAGTGATAATTACCAAATAAACCAGTGTCTCTTCATTATATTTACCTACTTTTCTGAGGACTGACACCTCCGCCAAAGTTTCTCTTAAAAACTAAATGTATGTAATCGTTCACACAATCTGTCAATTCCCAAGGATGCTACTGAGGAGTACAAATAGTCCTAATAAAAATATAAAGGGGAAAATTTTATTTGTTTTGCCTCTTCTTTTGGTTACTATAACACATGGCCCTCAACTTGACTCTCTTAGGTTCGCCGCTCCTGGAGTTTAGGCCATTATGGTGTTTTTCAGGATGAAAAATTTTATTTCTGTTACTCTTTTTCTGGCTGGAAATGTTTTTCCAACAGGAAGTCCCCTTTCCATGATGCCAAGTATTTAACCTGATAAAGAACACTCCCTAGAAATATTGGACTTTTTTCTCACTTTTTTGTCTTCTATCCCTTCTCTTCTTTTCTTTACTTCTTTTGTTCTTTTTGGATAATGTTCTTGTTTCTTAACTTTCTGGTAGTTTTCACACTCAGAGCCACGGCACGCTTTTATGGGGCTGTTTTGGAGATGAAGCACTTTCTGGCAGTCTTACCAGGGCTGAGCCTTGCAGTTCTGCCACCAGTAGCCCAAAGAAGGCAAGAGCACTGCTCAAAGCTGGCATATATGAAAGACGGGAGGGACCCCCAGGGCACGGGCTCACGGCTGTCCTCGGAGCTGAGGGCTCCCGGCTCCCAGAAGACCTGAGAATGGAGGTTTTGGAAGCACAGGGCTTGGGGCCTGGCTCTTCTTCTAAGATGTTGGAAAAACAAATTTTCTTTTACTTCTAAAATAATCATTTTTCTTAAAAAAAATAAGGATCATAACACTTATTCTAAGGTTGTCCTAAGGATTAAATGAGGTGTTCAGAACAGTCTCTGGAACACACAAAAAAAGTTGGAAAGCTATTTTTATTCTTGTGAAAAACGCATAAAAAATAAATTCACAGAAATAAAATCAACTTGACTCCCACCAATGCAGGACCTTTAAAGTATGACTTGCTAGGAAAACAAAGTTTTAACGTCAACAAATAGTAGTTTTGTCATAGCTTTGAAATATAACTTAGTACTTATCTAAATTTGGATCATATTCTAATATGTTAAATATCCATAGTCATGTATGAATGGTTTATAAAGCGATTCCTGTGAACATAATAGTAAGTCGTTTATTTGGGGGGGCGACAATGCTACTTCCAAGAAGAATTTCAAAATGCAAACAAAAATTATGTACCTTCTGTACCCTCTCCTCGTGCTGAACTTTTCTAGTTATGCTAATGGAGTATTGTTCAAACACTGAGCATTTTATGGAAGAGGAGCATACTTTTATGATGTTGAATTTTTGACAACATAAAATCCTCTATGTATGCCTTTCCTCTCCCACATTCTTCAGATCATATTAAAACATTGGATTTCAGAACCATCTAGAAATACCACGTACTTATACTCAAATACAAGTAGCCAATGAAATAGTTCCATTTCTATCAAAAATTCCATAGACTAGAAGTTGACAGCACTTAGTAATGAACCTGTTTTTATCACTGAGAAACATTTCCACAGTAACAAGTTTCTAGTTAAGTTCACTTCAAATTTATGAATACCTTATTTTTAAAGAGTGGAATATTCAACTGAAAGTTGTAAAATTATTGAATTAACCAAAATTATTACAATACAGATCATATTTTGACATCCTACTATAAGAATCAAATGGGCAAATTCTACAGCTAATTATGGTCATTAAGTACCTACTATCTGCTTGACACTTTATATGTATTATAATATTCAACTTCAGCAATATAGCTAAGAAATAAGTCTTCTTATTCTCATTATGCATTTAACAACTGATCTGTTTAGGGCAGGGGTGTCAAACTCATATTCACTGGAGGCCACATCAGCCTTGCAGTTGCCTTCAAAGGGCAAAATGTAATTTAGGACTGTACAGATGTAACTACTCCTTAACTAGGGGTAAGGAGGTCTACATTCGGCCCTTTGAAGGCAACTGTGAGGCTGATACGGCCCCCGGTGAAAATGAGTTTGACACTGCTAGTCTAGGGTCATGCTTGTAGTGAATATCAAAATTGCTACTGGAACCCCATTCCTTCTGTTGATAAAATGAGGCTGTACCTCCAGCCAGGTGAGATGGAGCCAGGCCGGGGAATAGTTTCAGAATGGGGTTTTACAGAAGGGGCCTACACCAAATATTCTTTCACCAGTGATTACGATGCTTAAAGTTTCTCCGGAGGACATATATTTCTGTGAGTCTTAAGGGATTTTGACCCATTTAGACTCTCATACTGAAATCCAAGTGCACTCAAGGTTAAGATGCCAGAGCTTTTGTGAAGTGGAGGAAAAATTATGCTGAATGGGCAAATGAGAGCAAAGATGAAAACGTGTTGCTTTTGCTACTTAGAAATTATGCCTTTTTGGTTGTCATTTCTGCCCTTGCTATGCAGCTTTTAAAACCTGGAATTTGAAGAACAAAATATTTTGCTAAGGGAATGATTTGTAACATTCGTGTTTTGGAAGAGCAGGCAGATACTCCCTTTGGTGGAGTGTCTTAAAAGTGGTGGGAAGTCGGCCTTAGGAACCGTCAACAGCAAACAGATGGCGCTGGCTTGTAAAAGCCACATGAACCTGGAAGTCTGCTCTGTCTCTCACTCATGCACAAACACATTGCTGGTCCGCTGGGTTACAGTAAAGCCTGCAATTATTTTAAACGGAAGGGTCCTGTTACAATTGCAGGGGTTATGAATACATACGAGCTTATGTATTCATGTACATACGTCAGTGTGAGTTTGGGATCTGGAAAAATGCTTTTATTTACAAATTTATTTGGTACACTGGCAAAATAGAAGAGTGGAAACATAAACTAATTATTTGGATGATTCAAGTTAAAGTGATGCTCTTATTTCAAACGTACAATTATTTCAAAGTAAAGAGGCAATTGACTTAATCCCAAATTCTTTCATCTGTAGACGTTTGCCATATATGGACTCAATGACCCATTATTGTTTTTCGAGTGAATTATCAGCCCCATAATAGATGGTCACATAAACATTCATCAGTAGCAAAAGATATTGAAAAACAATCAGACTTCATTCAATTTCTTCAATAATAGTGATCTTTTGTTTTAAATTGAAACAATTCCCAATGGACAGACTTTAATGCAACCATTCACAGATACAACCATTCTGTAAACATCTTGATTTGGTTAAAAATAAATATTATGAAATGTACAGAGAAGTTGCAAGGATAGAATGAAGAATTATTTAACCCTTAACCATTTTCCAATAAATAGCTATTTGATGCCTTATCACCTCTAAGTATTTTCGTGTATCATTTCAACAAAGAAATTGACCTACATAAGTACAAGACAATCATCATATCAGGAAATTGACACTGGCATGGGACTACAGTCTAAGCCTCAGTTGTCCCAACAATGTCCTTTATGGCAAAAGGAACCACACCAGGGTCACAATTGCATTTGGTTGTGGTGTCTCTTAAATTTCTGAAAGAGAATCTCAGTCTTTTCTTGATTTTTATGATGTTGGCACATTTAAAAGTTATAGAGCTTTTTTGTGTGTGCATGTTGTGGACGACTAACCATACTTTCCTCATTTCAGTTTGTCTGATATTTTTTCCTGATTAGATTCAGATTTTGCATCTTTGGCAGAAATTCTACACAAAGTATCATTTACTCTTTTCATTTGTCTTTATCAGAAAGGACATGATCAAAACTTATTTCCATACCAGTGATGTTAACTTTAATCATTTAAGGAGATGATTAATCATTTAAGGTGATGGCTGTCAAGTTTCTTCATTATAAAGTTTTTCTTTTTTTTTGTAATTAAAAATGTTTTTTACTTGTTGTGGGAGGTACTTTGACATTATGTAAATATTCCATTCCTCACAAAGTTTTTACTCACATTTTTAGCATCTATTGATGTTCCTTGAATAAAGTATTTGTTATTTCCATGATTGCCAAATGGTAGCTTTCAAATTCCACCTCTTCTAAATTACTAGTTGTCACTCTATTGTTAGAGAAAGTGTCCTTTTGTTCCAGATTCTTGGTTTTCCCTTTGAGTTGAAGATGGCAAATTCTTTTCCTAAGCCTTGCAGTGGACTGCTGTTATGAAGGTAAGACCCTGTTCTTGGTTGTAGCAGGACTGCCTAAGGCTCTGACGCATCCGCCCTTGCTCCACACCGAGGAATCAGAAGGCTTCTCAGAGTATGGGGATAGGTCTGATGCTATAAGGGCACTGTGGGTCTGACTGCTAGTTTCATTGCTATATTTATTTACATTTTCTGCATAAAGACCTAAACAATACATAAGAGTTAAGTGCATTATAATTTTCTATATTGTGTAACAAATGAACACACTTAAGTAGACATGTTTATCTCACAGTGTTTGTGGGTCAGGAGTCCCATGCAGCCTTCCTGGGTTCTCTGATTCAGAGACTCACCAGGCTGCAATCCAGCTATTGGTTGGGGCTGTGGTCTCATCAGAGCTGGGCTGCTAGGGAAGGATGTGCATGCAGACTCCCTTGGTTTGCTGGCAGAATTTAGGTTCCTGAAGCTATAAGATTAGTGGCATCCTCCTTTTTCTAAACCAGCATACACTGAGTCTGGGTGAGGGGCAAAGAAAGAGGAGAGAAGAGAGGAATGGAGACAGGGAGAGTCTCTAGAATGAGTCAGCTAGCAGAGACTCCTAGGTACTGCACCCTAGTCACGAGACTGACATGCCATTGCCTTTGCCTATTTCATTTGTTAACAAGTCAAGAGACCAGCTCATATTTAGGGGGTGGGGTCATGAAAAAGAAGAGGTGGGGATTATGGGGCCACTTAGTGTCCCACCTCCCCAAGCCTTCAATCCCACTTAGCCTGGAGGCAACTGCTGTCAGTAATTTACCCTGACTTCCGGATCTCATGTCTGGGCATTTACATACACATAAAATCACATTTTGTCTACATTATATTATAGACAAATGGATAAGCCCTTTTATTTCCTTCATCTACTTCATCGTAGTGCCATAAAATTTTAGTAAAATGCTGAATTTCTGAGTTTAATGAATGTGCTTCTAAATTTCAGTTTTTAATTATTTATGACATGAGGTTCCAGCAGATGTCTGTCAAACAGACCCAGATTGCTAATAATACTATTTTATATTTTAAATCAGGAATGGATGTTTAAATGACTAAACGATTTTTAATGTACGGCTGGATTACATCTGCTAATATTGTTGTAGGGTTTGTGTTTTATTCATAGGTGAGAGCGTCCTGAGTGTGATCGTGAGCGTGTCCAGGTGAGGGACTGCACACTGTATTCCCGTGTGGCAGTGAAAACATTGGCTGTGGAGCTAATGAAGCTTGACATTCACAGCTTAACTTGCATGAACATCTTCCACAGCCCTTTTCCTATTTTTGTTTTCCTAAGTGTGTATCCTTTTTTTAAAGAAGACCAACAATTATATCAGCAACAAACACTAAAAACTTCAATCATATCTATTAGTCATATTAGTATTTCTCAACTTAAGGGAATTTGCAGCCTGGGCATTGTGAAATTGATTTCAATTCTAGGGACACAGATGATGCTGCTACAATGCCTCAGTGGTGCCTTTCAGGGGTGACCCCCGTACCTGCGGACTGAGTGCAGGAGTGAGCCATGAGCCCGTGGTTCATGAGGTTGTGCCATCTGTAAAGCCTTCATCACACTGAGATTCTTGGGTCTTATTTTGACAGAGTGATTTGTGTTATCTTGTTATAATGATTTATGTTATGATGAATTAAATCAGAGTAACTGATTATACTACATAAACTAAAACTCTTTATTGATCATAGTACATGAGTTGTATATTTGACTAGTTTCCTGATTTATGCTGTAGATTCCACAATGACAGGGTCGTTACCTTTTGTTCACTACCCCTATTAGAATGTGAAACACATATTTAGTAAATGATGATGATTTGTGAAATGCATGAGTAATCTTTGAATTAAGTTTGCCCATGACAAATACTATTACTTGTTTATGATACATGTTCCATATACAGTGAAAAAGACTTATTTTTTTCCAAAGAAAGAAGAGTTAATTTCTTCCAAAGCTGATGAATGATTAGCTTTTCTGAGGAAAAATCTAGATTAATTTGTTTAGGTAATGGAACATTTCAACTTATTTTTAAAATTATCTTTGATTCAGAGATATCAAGCAACCAACCTCAGAAGTTCTGACATAAGAATAAGAAATTTAGAAGATCATTTTAATATAGCTGAAATTATTCCAGAAACACAAAATATGAGAATATGCACTATATAGTTCCTGAATAGTATCCATTTGGGCTTTAATAAATTCCACTTCTTTCAAATTTGGATATCTAGAATAAAGGATATAAATGATATTGCTTGGTTTGAGTTATGCATTTTATTTTCACTAAAACAGTTTTCTTTACTTTGAAACAGAGAAAGCCAAATGAAAACTGCAGGAGTTGTAATTACTGATAAAGAAATGCCATCTGAAAATCCCAGATATGCTTTCAATGAGTTAGAATGACTTTATTCCTACCCCATAAAATGATGACCTTGTCCCTTTAACACAAGCCTTTGGCATCACCACAGGCTTCTGCAGTCTGATAAGATGATGGTAACGTTCTTCTGTGATGCGCCTGTTGGCCTACTGCCCTCGGATTTCGGGCGCAGTCAGCATGAAATAAAGACTGGTTATTACACCTTGTTTCTGGCAAATGTTTTTTATCTCACCCTTCCTTAGTTAAGAATTCTGTAGTTTTCTAAATTATTTACAAATAAATATTTTGGGTAGAAATACCAAGAACCTATGTTACACTTCTGGTGTGTTTTCAGGAATCATAGTCTTAGAATCTGTTGTAGCACTACCATTATATACCAATACACAGAGATATCTCTTCTCAATTTCTAAAACACATCTGCACCAATTATATACCAATAATTGGTGATTATATGTGTGTGTGCATGCACATGTGTGTGTTTCTTGATACCAAAGACAATGTACTTTAGCCATGGATATATTTGCCATGCCGTAAACCAATAGGGCTTAAAAAATACACAAGTTCCTCTTTTCTTTCTGCTGCATATTATTCTGCTGTGTAAATATACCACAGTTTTTGATTCACTCATTTACTTATGGGTCCTATAACTAGACAATAAAAAAAATTTTTAAAGAAATATGTAAGAGAAAACATGCAAGAAACAGTACTCCTGTAATTCACCCTCAATATCACTTTCTTTTGAAAGCAGATGATTTTACAATATATTCTTCCAGCTGGCAAGCGTTATGGTACATCTTTATTGTTCCTCCTTATTAGTAAGAATCACTAGGAGAGATTCTCTGTGGTAATTGTCACACAAACACCCTATTTTTGTGAATATTGTCTCATGGCTCACTTGGCAGAAATATTTGAGGGACAACTACACAGAAATTAAGAATCATTTACAGGCATCATAAGGAACTTCTGTGAGATTGCATATACAGATTAGATTTTAAATTAATAGCGTCCCATGCTTCACTTGGAAACATAGTCCCAACACATAGCTTATTGGAAGCAATACTATTGTTATGTTAATATTCAAGTGTTCAATATTCAATATGTTGAATATTCAATATGGTCAATATGTTGAATATTTAATATTCAAATATTCAATATGTTCAAGTGGCCATGAACTTCTACATCAGACAATTACTGGTTTTCTTTAATTCTGGGATAGTCACCTCAATTTTCTTTTTTGTAGGTCTATAACATGGAATACATTTTTGGTGATCAACTAAGATGCTCTATTCAAAAATAAAATAACAAAGATATTATTTATATAAAAAACTAAAATGTAAAATATAAAAATACATTACAATTATTAAAACGTATTTGTTACATACCTGCATGCAAAGAAAGACACATAAGTAAAACTCTATTGCATCATCAGGGACATCATTATATGGCACTCCAGCTTGGAGACCACATCGTATTAGTACAGACAATATGTGATATGTTGAAAACTTTGTATCACTTTCCTAGGGGAAAATTGCTTTTAAAACTGTATGAATTTTGGAGTGTTCTATTTTAAAGGTTTTTAATGACTAAGAGTAGTGCATGCTTTCATTTATTACCTTTTAAATAATAGTTCATAGAGAAGAATTGAAGAACCTACCATCAACACAAAGGAAGTAGAGAACAGCCAAAAAGGTCTGATAAGAGATATTTTGCAAACAGACTGGCAGGGGGTTCAGTGGAGAATCTCAAGCCGCATAAACAGTGGGATAGCCTGCCACACAATCTTATTCTTTGTCAGCACAGCAGTGAATGGTTGTGACTACACATTGGTGGCAAGAAAATAAAATTCCAGAAATGCTGAGGCATCTGCCATTGTGTTTAAATTTTGACCCCAAACCAATGGGAGATTTTGAGGAGGGAATGTGGCAAATATCCTCTCAGGTCAGAACATTGCAATACCACTTTTGTGGTGTATAATATGAGGAAATAAGAAGAAAGAACATTAAATATGAGGTCCATTTACAGCTCAAATAGTGTTTGAAGTCTTGGGAAATTTTCTCTTAGTCTGCATACCTTAGTATTTTTACGTGTAAAATGGGAATATGAATAGCATCTACTTTGCAGGTGTTTGTTAGGCTTCCTAAGGGGTTTATTTATTAAACAAAGCTTGAGTTGTTCTGCTCTAAGATCTTATTTTTTCCTTTCCATTAAATAGACCCATCCAGTAATTATCTACATTCACCATGGGAGCTACTGGTGCTGTACCGGTGCTAATGGTCCACCACCTCCCATCAGTCTTGCCTTCTCGGTGCACGCAGCTCTTCAGCTGTGTCTCACCAGCTGCCAGAGTCTGCACCTCAGAGCTGTGCCTTGATGCTGGAGTCCCATTACTGCCCACTGAAGACCAGGAATGCATCTCTCAGACAATGAGTTGGGCTTATAAATACCTCAGCTCTTGTACACCTCAAGGATGAGAACTGTAAAATTTGTGTCCCATGTGAAATCCCAGAGTTTTCCCAATGGAGTTCATCTGTAGTCCCAATAGTGACAGCTACCTTTTATTAGCAGATTTCTCCATTTGTCTCACTTTCCAACTTTCCTATCAGGGCTATTTTATATTCAT